CTTCGACTAAGCCATTGTTATCTCGGGAGCTGAAGGACGACATTTCTGACGTAATAAGAAATTGTGCGTTTTCCTACACTTATAATACACAGTAGCACATCTCAAGCTGACTGAAAGACTCGAAGGCGGTTGACAACCAAGTACCTATTTGAGACTTATGTTAAAAAATGGTTCTACGTTTTACCGACGAATCTCCATGATTTCACCTCAGTGCTGCGCAGTTTGCGAGAACAAAGCAGTCATAAGAAGGAGCGGGGTGGTTGAAGTGCAGTCTGTACAAACTTGGCTGTTGTAGCCATCAGCAATAATCGACCAGTAGCAATGAAAAAATTCCTAAAAGGTTGTAGAACGGAGATAGTGAGATATGATGCCTCGTTTAATTTCCGAGGACATAAGCGCGCGAATTTGTAGTGAAGCCATCAAAACAAAGCTTCGTTAGGTTTGGTTTGAAGGTTTAGGTATAAATATTAGGTAGAACTCACTTATGTGGCTCCCTAAACAGGACATGGGAATAGGTACGTACCGTCCAGGCAACAAGGGCGCAGTTGCGCATGATTTTAGAAAGGACAAAATATTCCAGTATTCTAAATCCAACGATCGTTCTTACGGAAACCGATTGAAGTCGACAGGAAAACGCGCCCGTAGTCCAGTGGTTAGAGGCATTAGTCTTCTGGCTAACACGCCGCGAGTTCGAGCCCTAGGTGTTCCACACTTCGGGGTTGGGTATGACCGGCTGACGACGGCTAATAAGCCAGAAATGGCCATTCCGGTCTCCCTTGTCTTTGTCGGTAATAACATTCTGCCATTAACTCTAATGTAAAGCTAAATCGTTAACCTAATCTTGACCCTATCCCTGCCCTAAATCTTAACTCTACAGTTAACACTAGCCCCTTCCTTAACCCCAGACTCGAACCTGACTTACCTTAGCGTTAATTTTGAATCTAGCCACTTATCCCTAACTCCATCCTAATTTTAAACCTAACCCTAACTTCGCTGGAAGTTGGCTCAAAACCACCGGCATTGCAAGCGGTTTTTGCTCACCTGTCCTGTTTAAGGGGTCATAGAATTCATTCATACCACCTATTCGGGCCGAAATCCGTCAAATGCTACGAAGTAACTGAAAACAAAGCCTGACAAACTCTGTCGTAAAGGGTTTACTGCAAGTTTGCGCCATAATTTCTCCGTAACTCAAACAAAGCAACGAAGAATCCGGAGTTCATTCGCCGAAAAAAACATCTGAAGAATGTTGGGAGCTAACTAATCTGCCAAATCCGTCGCGGCTGCGTTTTGCAAAGAAACAAAATCAGCAAGACACGCGTGTCTGGATCATAAGCAGTACATCTGCCGTCAGTATAACAAAGCACTTAGTCTTTGCAAGGATTCCTTTCGGTTATTGTTACATTGGCGAGCTACAAAAGTGGAAAGTGAGATTTTTTTACCATGTAAAGTAGCAGTGTTCGTTGCTTAACTTGACAAGATAATCTTCAAACAATTACTTCGTAACCTTGATTTTCTTAGTCTTTTCGGCGACTTATTACTTTCGGCACGCTATTAGTGTCTTTAAGTTGAAGCACATAATGTGTCAAAATCTGTTGTCCTTAGCTTAGGTATATTTTTCAATTCTAGCCTATCTTAAATTTGGCTTGACTCTTATATATACGTGCATACTAACAGAGTGGAAGATTTGTATCACTTCTTTGTAGGACAGTCCCACATGAAAAAATACGTTTCGTCTGAAATACGACAATCCTCCTGTCATATGAAAGTGGAGTCTGTTTGTGGACGAACAGAATTCGCAAACAACGATTTTGTTATCATTGGATTGGTCAAAAAGGAGGCCTATGATCCAAAAATCACATGTAAACAACACAATAACCGGAAATCATGCCAAACGAGAAGCCGAGATTTTCACTCTGGTATAATTCGCTCTTTGGTTTAACATTTCAAACCCTTCTTTATATTCATCCGTTAGGTCGGACATTACACAGATAAAAATATAAGGGCAAAGGTAGGCGGGTTCTAAAAACATTCGATGCATTAATAACCAACCGGATAAAATTTTTATTTACAGAAACTTCTGTATTCGTAGTGTAATGCTTACTTTAACGATGTTTATCTAAAAATCCCCTCTGATCCCAAAAGC